AAGATTACATTGATAAATAAGGTTGACAACTTTGAATGCCTTTTTGGCAATCTCGTTACAGTGAGCTCTGGGGCTTAGGTCTCAATAAATAAAATGCCCAGCACTTAAAAATAAAATACAATAGCCCCATTTACCGCCTCTTTTATCTGTGGCTGCCATGCAGCTAACTGTGCTTATTTATCAATGTAATCTTCTCGGCTCACATGGACATTTGTCCATTAAAGCTTGCTGTTTATTCTTCTTGATTTGCAACAGACATTTGCACAATGGCCTTTTTCAAATCCGTTGGTACATCCTTAGCACCAGGTCGTGTTTTTTTTTTTTTAAAAAAAGATCATTCAAAGAAGCTTCTTTTTTTATTTAAATTGGAAGCAAAAGGTTTAGTAGGCTGTCACAGGCAATGGGAGAAGAGGTGGAAAAGAGAAAGAGGTTTGCGAAACCAAGTCAGAAAGGGTAGAGAATTGGTGATGGGCTCTCTGTCTCTGTCTTTCTCAACGTAGGAGCTGCATCAACTATTCATCCAGTCATGCATTTCCTTAGTATAATTTTTATAGCCCTAGTTTCCTGGTCTACAGGAGAGGACCTCTCCCTGGCAGAGGAGATCCCTTGTTCAAAGTATCAGGTGGCTTTCAATCACTCGTGCTACGAATTTGTGAGACTCCAACGCACATTCACAAGTGCCCAGAGCTGGTGCGAGAGAGGAGGTGGCCATTTGGCCTTTATTGGGAATGAAGAGACTCAAACATTCTTGGAGGGACACCTCTCTGAAGACAAGGAGTGGTGGATCGGTATAACCTACACCTCTTCAAATGAAACTAATGAAGGTAAGGAAAAACTGAGGACAGTTGTGTGTGCAGCAAGTTGTGGTTAGAATTCTAGATACAAATGTGAGTGGTAAATTGTAAAGGGAATGAGAAGCTCATCTGCTGGTGTATTTATGAATATATCGAGGTAATTTTCTTGACAATGCTACAGAAGTTTGTCACTGCTCTTTCCTTCCTTCCTTCCTTCCTTCCTTCCTTCCTTCCTTCCTTCCTTCCTTCCTTCCCCCTTCCTCCACTTCCTCCCTTACATCTCTCTTTTCTTCTATTTCCTCCCTCCTATCTCTATCTTTTCCTTCCTTCCTTCTCCCTTCCTCTATATTCCTCCCCTCACAGCTCTATCTTTTCCTTTCTTCCTTCCCTCCCTCCTTCCTTCCTTCTCCCCCTCTCTCTCTACTTCATCCCTTCAATCTCTATCATTTCCTCCCTCCCTTCCTTTCCCTTCCATGTCTTCCATGTATATTGGATGCCAATTCTCAATAAATTGTATTCAAATGTGCCATATAAACAGACCCTTAAATATCAGCTCTAAGGCATGGGGGAGAAAGAAGTCATCAGCCTGTGTCCCTGCCTATGAACTTCTTAAATATTCTCAGATGGCCAATTAATGAGTGACAAGAATGCAGGAGAGGGCATGGCTCTTGAAGAAATTGACCGGGCATGTTCTGATCGACAGAATGCACCAAGAGCCACCTTTCTACTTACATAAGCACCTAAGATGACTCATACGTTTAAAAGCAAAAATGCCAAGTGTAAAATATTTAAATGACAATTACGGTCCATGAATGATTAAAAGATTGATGGAAGAGCGTCTTAGTCATCTTGCTAAACTCTCTTCTTCCAATGCTGTGGCATACGACAGCAACCCAATGAGTATACATTGCCATGGAAGCCAGTCAGGGGATCACACTAGCTTGTTTGTGATCTGATCACCCACTATTTGTTTTTTTTGGGGGGGGGTTAACCTGAGAGATCCTCTGGTTGAAGAGACATGTATATCCACCTTCACTGTGCTACTGCTGGCCAGTGGCCAAGCAAATAAATCTTGATGGACACTTCTCTTTGTAGCCGTAAAATATTCTGTGGTGCATCCGTACGCTATATCAATTTCTTTCCATGCAGGATCTATGATTTGGCTAGATACTTCAAACATCACCTACACCAAGTGGTTCCAAGATCCACCCTCAGCTTTTGCATCATCCTGCGGCTATATCCTNTCTCCAGTGTCTTTTTCCCCACTTGGAGCCGAACCCAGAAGGACATTTCTTTCATCAGTACCAACAGGAGATGAGAACAGGAAAGACGAGAAGGGTAGTAACAAAATTGATAATAGGAAAATTGAAATGGTCCGTTGGATAACTAAAGTGGTTAAAAGGAACAAATGCAATAAAATGAACTTTCCCTGAAAATTCAGCAGTTGATACCTTCAGTCACATGCAAAGCCAGACCTAAACCTTAATCCTACACGAACCAAATCCAGATATTTCTATATACAGCCAAGTATTTTGTCTGCAGTATTCACTTGAGTGCCTTTGGCATAAACATAAAGATCAGAACAGAGATAGTAGTAAATAGCACTCGCATGTAAATGCTTAGGTCAGCCACTCACAAACAGGTGCCATTAACTGGCATCAGATTTCCACACGCAAACCTATTAACCCGCCATCTAGTGGGAGAAAGTGTCTATTCTTTACTAAAGGGATGCTACTTAACCCATCCCTAATTATCTGTCTCCCTCTTGTGGTCATTTAAGGTATTCCAAGCTTTCTGAACTATCATCCCTGTAGTCCCTACTACGCCCGACATATCCAGATTTCACAACCTAGCAAAGCTCTTGAAGACTATTCAGACTAATAATCAAATACACAGTCATATTGCACGTAAAGGGTAAGTCAAGAGCTAGTTTTCTTTGGGTTGAAGGAAGTCAGCGATAGCTGTTCATCAGCCTGAGAATCAACAACAATAGAATACTTTTATTGGCCAAGTGTGATTGGACACACAAGGAAGTTGTCTCCGTTGCATAAGCTCTCAGTGTACACACAAACAACAAAGTAATATAAAATACCAATAAGAGAAGCTAGTAGAAAAGATAAGGATAATAGTAATACAGCCTACTACATGAGCAAATATCCTTAGACATACGACAATACTGTGATAATTTGGTGTTCAGCGGAGTGATGGCAGGGGGGGCGGGGTTATGTCTTTATGTCTAGTTGTTTTGGCATGCAATTCTCAATAGTGCCATCCTGAGGGGAACAGCTGAAATAGTTTATGTTCAGGATGTGAGGGGTTTGTAGATACTTTCTCAGCCCTCTTTCTGATCCATGCAGTATACAAGTCCTCAATGAACTTGTATACTGCATGGGTCATAGCTGAGGATCTGTGTAATGCAGTGTATTTACTAGTTACTAAGACTGTATTACTATTCTTCTCATCCTTCCTATTACTTATCTCCTCCCACTTATGACTATAACCATGTTGCTTGTCTTTTTATGATTTATATTGTTCTGTTGTTTCCTAGTATGATTTGATTGCTTATTAGTAACCTATGACTATAAGTGTTGTATCTTATGATTCTTGATGAATGCATTCTGTTCTATTTTTCTTCATGTACACTGAGAGTATATGCACCATAGACAAATTCTTTGTGTGTCCAATCACATTTGGCCAATAAAGAATATTCTATTCTGTTCTGTTCTGTTCTTTTTGTTCTATTCTATTCTATTCTATTCTATTCTATTCTATTCTATT